TCCGCAAATTCTAGGTAGAACCGAAAGAAAACATCGGCATGTTGTCGATACAACTCTAACCTTGCTTCACCATGCATCTGTAGCCCTTAAATTTTGGTCCCTTGCCTTCCAAACTGTTGTTTACCTTATCAATCGTCTGGCCACACCGCTACGCAATCTAAAATCACCATTTCATTGACTTTTTAACTCCCTCACCAAACCATCACAAACTTAAAATCTTTGGGTGCCTCTGTTATCCATGGTTAAAACCATACACCTCTTCCAAATTTGATCCAAAATCTAAGCCTTGTGTCTTCATCGGATACTCCACTATCACTAACAATTATGTTTGCCTTGATCTCTCTTCTTTCAAAGTTTATCTTTCCAGGCATGTTTCTTTTGTTGAGCGTGTATTTCCTTTCAAATCAAACTTTTCCGCTCTTGCCCGGGCATCTTCTCTCAATATGGACTCTTGGCACTATCCTTTAGAAAGCCCTTCTTTACATTCTAACTTGCAATCTGACACTGATACACCTATCACACTCCCTACACCTTCACACCTTGAATAACTTGCTGCACAGGTCACTCCAGAGATCATCTCAACTCCTACCATTGCGGGTGATACGCCACCAGAGACATCTGTAAGTTCATCTTCTCCTTCACAGGTATCTTCTACACCTAACTCACCTACTGCTATATCTTCTCCACCTCAATCACCATTGTCTCAACCACAACATAGGTTGCAATCTTCCAATCATCCCATGGTCACTAGAGCAGAGAACAACATTTTCAAAGCTACGTTTATTTTTGACTACCTTGTTGTATCCTCACCAAAGCAGCTACCTCTTGCTCCTACCACATTTTCTCAAGCCAACAAATACCCTGAGTAGCGGGCTACTATGCATGATGAATTCACAGCTCATCTTAAAAACAATACTTGGTCTTTGGTTCCTAGCTTACCCTCACATAACGTTGTTGGCTGCAAGTGGTTTTATCGTGTAAAACATAAACCTGATAGATTTATTGAACGATTCAAAGCTAGGTTAGTAGCCAAGGGTTTTTATCAACGTCCTGGGGTCGACTCACACTTTCAGCCATGTAATAACAAACACTATTATTAGGCTTATTATCACTCTAGCAGTGTCGTTCAAGTGGCCTTTACGTCAACTAGATGTAAACAATGCCTTCTTGCAAGAATCTCTCAATGAGGTTGTTTATATGCAGCAGCCACGGGGTTTCGTCAACCTCGAATTTCCATAGCATGTCTGCAAGCTTCACAAATCCATTTATGGCCTTCATCAAGCTCCTAGAGCTTGGTACAATGAGCTCAAAACCTTTCTTCTTTCCTGTGGGTTCCTTAGAGCAAAATCAGATGATTCTCTGTTTATAAAATGCTCTCCTAACTCGCTTCTCTTTGTCATGATCTATGTTGATGATATTGTTGTCACTGGATCTAACTCCTCTCAAGTCCAAACCACCATTCAACTCCTAGGTGATAGATTCTCCATTAAAGACCTTGGTCCCTTCCATTTCTTTCTTGGAGTCGAAGTTCTACAAAATGAACATAGTTTAATTTTCACTCAAAGTGGCTTTATTGTTGATCTCCTAGAAAAGTTTAGCATGCTAAACTCTAACAGTGTTGGCATGTCGATGTCAGTCGGTGAAGCACTCTCACTGAATGATAATTCCAACACCTGCTGATGCCAAACTGTATAGGCAAGTTGTTGGTTCCCTACAATACCTAACCTTTACTCGATCGGACATTTGCTTTGCAGTAAACAAACTTGCTCAATTTCAGCATGCACCTAGTTGAAAGCATTGGCAGGCTGCCAAACAACTTCTGCGCTACCTGAAGGTCACTATCACATATGGTCTCCATTTTCATCCCAGTAGCTCACTCAAACTTCAAGCATACTCAGATGCTGATTGGGGTGGACCTCCTAATATGTTATCTTTCTAGGAAAGAATCCCATAAGTTGGTACTCCACAAAGCAATAGACAGTTGCTAGACCCTCCACAGAAGCTGAATATAGAATTGTTGCTGCTGAGCTTAATTGGATAACTAACATGCTGAAGGAGCTTCACATTCCAATATCCAGTCCTCCTATGGTGTTTTGTGACAACATTGGTACTACTTACCTTAGTCGTAACCAGTTTCTAACAGTCGTATGAAACATGTAGCTATCGATTTTCACTTTGTTCGAGATCAAGTGGAACGCAATGAGCTCTCTGTTAATCACATACCCACTGGCGATCAACTTGCTGATGCCTTAACAAAAGCCTTGCCTAAATGATCAATATTTACACACTTTGTCAACAAGATTGGTTTCAAGGAGATTGAGCCCATCTTAAGGGGGCATGATAAGGATAGACACTCCAAGCCTATTCAGGAGTCCTAGTTTAAGTTGTATCTTATGAGATTCTTTCCTATTTCCACAAGAGTCTTATGTATATAGAACTCTGTCTCCTCTCTCCCTTCTCCTCTTGGTATATAAACGTCTCTATTGTAATCAATATAGACAAGCCTTTTACGATTCTTATCAACTCTTATAAAAGGGACATACATGTAGTTAGCCGATGAGGTGAGCAAAAGAGATTAGATGCATTGGACAAGACTCTAAAACTAGTGATTCTGATCCTCAATTTTGTCTTTTATAAAATCAAATAATCCACTTACAAAAGACGTCCTTCCTCATTAAGAGTTTGATCAAACCTAGTAATTTTAGTCCACCTTCATATTTGCTTAAAAAAATTCATTTATATTATACAAATTATTCATTTAGTACCAGATAACTTAAAATGACTAAAATTCTAAATTCATAAATTTTAAACGTTGGATTCTCCTCTACAATTCTCGTTTTTTTGTTTCTTAGATCAATAGTTACCTGATGTTGCTTCTGCCTTGATTTTATTCTTAACATGTTCTTGTTACTGTTCCCTTTATCTTCTTTATCACTGCATTTCCCGCTCTTAACTATTGTGCTTATGCTTGTCTGAGCTGAGCTGAGGGTCTATCTGAAACAGTTTCTCTACCTACACAAGGTAGAGGTAAGATCTACCTTGTTGTGGGATTATACTGGGTACTTTGTTATTGTTGTTCGATCTGCCTCTAAAAAGAAACATACACTAAACTAGAAAAGACTAATAACAGTGTTGTACAGTATCATCTATACAAAAAGTTATGGACCATTGCACTTTGTCTGATATCTCTCGAGATATTTCTTTGAGTTCCTTTTTGAAGCCTGTCTATCTTAAATCTGGAAAAAGGGTTTAAACATATGATATTGTCTTTTAATATCTAAATTTTGAGGTTGTTGATTCATGACTAGTGATAAGCAGTGGCTGGTAAATGCAACATTGTTGTCCCCCATATTACAAAGCAAAGACTAGTTAGATAAAATCTACCTCAGAAAACATCTAACGATCTAACGAAGGCTGTGTTAGGTAATCAATAGCGCGAACGAGTATGGGGCCTAAAGCTGAATTGTTATTAGAGGCCTTTAGAGACAAAGATGTTAAATATAATTTACAGCTAACTTCTTCTAATATTTTCTTTTTAATTGATAATATAGCCAATTTATTTAATTATTCTTGAAATATTGTTGATCTTAGGTAAACTTTTATAATTTCACTTTTGAAAAACATCATTTCGTTGGAGAAAATTTCTTCATTTTTCTATGAATAATATTATATAGGCATGTGAAAGACGAATCAAATCTGTTTATTTCATTGAGTGTATCAATTAGAGTACGTGTACAGTTTTTCATAGTACTTTTTGTTACAAAATTAAGCCCAAAAGTCAATATGAAGCTAATTAGCTTAAAGTATGTACAAAAGCCATTATAAAGCGAAAACTAATCCAAGCTGAAGAGAATAAGAGGAAGGAAGGAGGAAATCATTAAGTGCATGTCATTCGATATTTGAAACTATGCCTTAATGATTATTGACATAGCAAATGATAGATCAATGTATTTACTTACCATTTTAAAAAATTATAGGAGTAATTATTTAACATACTTATTATATATGTAATTTGAATGATATTTTGGGCCGTATATTTTTTGGAGCCAAAAGCCTTGGCTTTAGCTGCCATGGGGTTGAGCCGCTCCTGCAAGTAATTAGCGCAAAAACATGCACGCATGCGCATACACGTAAAACTAATACATACATATATATACATATATGCATATAACACACACACACACACACACACACACATATATATATATATATATATATATATATATATATATATATATATATATATATATATATATATATATGTATTATATCATTTTACGCAGGGGCGTACCCAGAAATTTTGGTAAGGCAAGAACTGGAATATAATTTTGATTATCATACTTTTAGATAAGAAATAACCTTAGTCTACTAGTTTTGTTGAATGTTAAGTTAGAAAAGGTCGTGAGTTCATTTCTACTTAGTCACAATTTTTAACCACAAAGACTCTCTCAAATATTTCAAAAGAAAAATATGCCAGTTAAGATTTGAACCTTTGACCTTCAAGAGCATAATCAAACACATGACCAAAACACTAAGATACAATTTATGTCAAATATTGTCATTTTTTTCTACTTATCCATTTTCATACAGTATTAATACATATATTTTAGTAAAGTTTTCTAACGAAGCGGTGTTGTGTGGCACCGCTTTGGTAAGCATGCATCGGCCCCTGATTTTACGTACTTGTTATGATAATATTTAATGTGAGAGATCGTTATCTCTCATTCGTCAAATAGATATATCGTTCATATATCGTTCTCATTCCAATTAACTTTTGTCTTCATCTATAAGTATTGCGTCTCAGAATTGAAAAATTAAAGAGAGAATGGACAAAGATAATTTTATTTGGAAAATCTAAATCATTAAATTGATCGGAAAGTAATATAGTCATAAATATATATTATAAAAAGCTATAGAGTATTAAAATTTCAAAAAATATCAAATTTTAAACATACTTTTAAGCAAACAAGTTATTCATACTAAAAGCCTTAAACATAAAATTTATCATATTTAAATTCTGATTTCACCTCTCATGACCATTACTTTTGTTTATCAAATTTAAAGTGGATGACTAAAAAGATGTATACTTCCCCCCTAATTAAGTACATGTGATTGTACAAAATATTAAGTACATGGGAAAGTACTACATACAATGGGTTCAAGTTCAACTGAACCTAGAACACTGCATTTCCGCTGATCAAAATATTAAGTACATGTGATTGTACAAACTCACCCCCTAAAGAGTTAGATGGTGTTTCTTTCTTAGTTGAACTTAACTATTCATTTGATGCCATTGTGTCTGACTAATGAAGGACGGCTCGGTGCACTAAGTTTCTGTTGTGCGCGTGATCCGGACTTCAGAGAAGAGTTGGACAGCATTAGATCTTTTGTATGCAGTCTTACTTTTCATCTCTTCAGTGGCGGCTCACTGATAATTTCCAAGTAAAAACATATATAATAAAAGATCATCAACTCAAGTCCTTCAATTTTTTATCTGAACATTGATATTAGGGAGCAAAAATCGTCTTCATCACAAGGGATAGTAAGTCCCATATCATGATTGAATCCAAATTCTTCTTCAGCCCTTCGAAGCATACTTTGAAATTCAGGATGTGACAACCAAAAAATGGGGATTATATATCTGCTTCTATTTTCACCCACATATACTACAAAATGGCCTTTTGGGACATCTTGAGGGAATCCATTCTCATTCTTTCCAAAGCTTGAACATCTTTTCATAATTTGTTTGAAGGCTGCAGATTGAGTAAAGTGTTTGCTTGATTTCTTTAGAGCCATTTTGGTTCTTGATATGAGAAGAATTAAGGGGAAAAAAGTTTCAATTGGGGTAGCTTAAAGTTTTGTTTTTTTGAGTTGTGTGGGGAAGAATTGGAAGAAAGGAGAGTATTTTATAGGGGAAATAGAAAAACAAAGGCACATGGATTGTGTGGGAACAAAGGAACTAAAAAGGTTTTTTTTTAGGGATTAGTCTTGTATAAGGACATTGAGTCTCTTTTGTTCTTTCTTCCATTGGTCCTATACCCTACTTTTTGTCACCCCACCTAAAAACACTAGATTGGACCACTCACCTCCCCATAGCTAACACCCAAAATGCAGCCCCGGTGACTTTTTCTTTTATCTTTAATAAAAGGCCAGCACGGTTTACTTAGGCTTTTGATGTGTGTAGTTTTTGGAGAAGGGACGAATCACATTGAATGTATTGTATGTAAAAGTGTTTTGCATGTTTTGTACAAAATTATTTTCATGACTTGATTCTGTAACCTTACATGAATGTAGCTCTTCTAGTTGCACTAAGGCTTTGGTTGTAAAAGGTTTTAATATAATATAAATAACAATGGTGAAGTTGTTTCCGTATAATCTATAGGTCACGAGTTCGAGCCGTAGAAGCAGTCATTAATTCTTGTATTAGGTTAGGTTGTTTACATCACATCTTCCTAAAATATAGCCCTTACCTAAAATATAGCCCTTACCTGGTCCTTGCGTGAATGCAGAATATTTTGTGCACTAAGCTATTTTTTATTTATTTTATAAATAGCAACGGAGTTATGAAGAATTATTTTGCAAGTAAGTAGTCGTGATAGGAGCCACGATAGTACATAGGGGGTAATGAGGGTACATTTTGTACCTGCATATATAGTTATATTTTAGTTACTTTGTTTGGAACAACTTGAAATAAGAATAAGTATCTAGAGAGGAAAGTGTAAAAATGATCAACAAAAAAATCTTTCTATACTGGATTTTATAATGTTTCTGACCCTTTGAAGTAGGATCTTCTCGGTTCTTTTTCACCTCTGTTCTTATACTCCTAAATAATGATGCCCAAAATTTTAATCATATAATTACCCCATGGTATATAAATCTTACTAGTTCGAATTATTCCTCAAGAGAAGGGGGGCCTCTGGCCCGGAAGATGCCTTATATGGATAGGGTATATACTACTACGATTGGCTCTATTCCATGAGAGTCCCAATCAACTTTGCGATGTTAAAAGCGGATCCGACTAATTTGAATTCGCATTGAATAAGTTCTTTAACGAGAGTAAAGCATTTTCTACTGAATGGTTTTTTCGTTTCAGAATCCCACATATTCCACCGCACCTCTCGGTGGCTCCAAATTTTTAACTACTATCGTATCTATCCTACTAGATTACTGAAACTTCTTTGTGTTAAGATCAAAATAATAAAGTGTTATGCGAAAGCTAACAAAGTATACTTTCAATGACGATAAGTCACACAGTTGAAGAGTACGTTAAACCAAAGAGTCACAAATATTTAACGTGATTTGGTCAATTGACCTACATCCACAGGCTGAGATGAACAATCAAATATATAAAAGAGAGTACTCCCAATGTTTCAATTTAGATAACACGCTTTCCTTATTAGTCCGTTCAAAAAAGAATGACACTGTGATGACCCGATAGGTCACCTAGAGTTTTAAATCTTAATTCTGTGTTTTGAAGCCTCCAATAGCTTCATTAAGCCTTTCTCGATTTGTGTGTGCGGTCCGGGTACTTTTTTCTGGAAGGCTTTTTATGATAAAAATTGATAAAATATGAAATTTTTGCCTTAAAAATCCATTTGAGTAGACTTCGGTCAAAATTTTGGGCAAACAGACCCGGAACTGTGCTTTGACGATCCTGGAGGGTCCGTATCGTTATTTGGGACCTGTGCGTATGCCCGAAATCAATTTCGAAGGTCCCTAGCTCGAGTTACCGCTTTTTGTCGAAAACTGAAAGTTTAAAGGTTTGATGACTTTAAAGATTAGACCAATGTTTGACTTTATTGATATCGGGTCCGTATTCTGGTTTCGGAATACGATATAGGTCCACTACTATATATATGACTTGTCTGCCAAATTTGGTGAGAAACGGAGTTGGTTTGACGTGATTCGGACGTCCGGTTGTTACAATAGAAATTCTAAAGCTTCATTGAAAATTTCATTTTATTTTGTGTCCGATTTGTATTTCTAGGTGTTATTTTGGTGTTTTTGATCGCGTGCGCAAGTTCGTATCATATTTTTTGACTTGTGTGCATATTTGGTTTGGATCCCCGAGGGATCGAGTGAGTTTCGATTAGCCTACGATCCTTTTGAACTTAGAAGATTTGTTGGTTTTTCACTTCTGTTGGTTTCTGGTGTTTCCTTTTTTGCGATCGCAAATATACACTCGCGATCTGGGCTGGGAGAGATTTTATTCTATGCGAATACGAGACCTTGGTTGCTAACGCGGAGCGTTGGGGGGCCTACTCTTCGGGAACACGGCCAGTGAATCGCGAACCCGTAGTGAGATAGAAGTGGGGGCTGGGAACTGACTGTTACTCTATGCGAACCCAATACAAGGATAGCGAACGTGGATGCTAGGGGGGCTAAGCCTACGCGAACGCGTAGATTAACTCGCGATCGCGTAAGCTAGTGAGGCTTTGCTCTTCGCGAACGCGTCAGGTTTTACGCGAACGCGATGAACACCTGACACCAGTGATTAAAACAGTCCCAAAAACGGGATTTTGTTCATTCTTTCAAATTTTCAATTTTAGAAAACTCTAGAGGCGATTTTCCCAAGAGCTCTTCTCCCCCAATTCGTTGGTAAGTGATTTTAACCTACTTTCTTTCAATTACCCATTACATTTCATAAGATTTCCACCTCAAATCTAGGATTTTCATGGTAGAAATTAGGGATTTGGTTAAATTAGGGATTTTTCTAAAATTTGAATTTAGACCTTAAATTGGTGTCGGATTTCGAAACAAATTACGTAACCGGGCTCGGGGTAAATGGGTAATCGGGTTATGGTCCAAATTTAGGGTTTGGACCAAGCAGGCCCGAGGCCGATTCTTTGACTTTTTGGGGGAAAATGTGGGAATCTTAAATTTATGCAATGTTTGATTCCTTTAGCAGTATTTGATATTATTGAGTCAATTATGGTTAGATACGAGTGGTTCGGAGACGGATTCTAGGGTAAAGGCCCCGGTAGAGCTCTGAGTTGACTGCGGAGTGAGGTAAGTGTTGAGTTTAACCTTCTCGATCATATCCCGAGATATTGACAGAGATATTGACTTCTATATTGATTTGGCTCCGGTCACTCAGCCCATTTCTATTCTGCCATACCATATGGCCCCGCTAGAGTTGAAATAATTGAAGGAGCAGTTGCAAGATTTACATGATAAGGGCTTCATTAGACCTAGTGTCTCGTTATTTGTGAAGAAGAAAGATGGAACGATGAGGCTGTGCGTAGATTACTGGCAGTTGAATAAAGTCACCATCAAGAAAAAGTATCCATTGCCGAGGATTGATGACTTATTTGATCAGCTTCAGGGTGTCAAGGTGTTTTCGAAGATTGATTTGAGGTCTGGCTACCATCAGTTGAGGATTAGGGCATCTGATGTCCCTAAGACAGCTTCTCGGACTCGATATGGGCATTATGAGTTTCTAGTGATGTCATTTGTGCTAACGAATGCCTCAGCACCATTTATGGATTTAATAAACCGGGTATTCAAGCCCTATCTGGATTCCTTTGTGGTTGTGTTTATTGATGATATCTTGATCTACTCCCGCAGTCGAGAGGAGCACGAGCAGCATCTTCGGATTGTACTTCATACTCTGAGGGATAGCCACTTGTATATCAAGTTTTCAAAGTGCGAGTTTTGGTAGGACTCGGTCGCTTTCTTGGGGCACGTTGTATCGGCAGAGGGCATAAAGGTGGATCCTAAGAAGATTGAGGCAGTTCAGAACTGGCCTAGACCCACTTCAGCTATGGAGATCCGGAGTTTCTTGGTTTTGGCGGGATATTACCGTCGATTTGTGGAGGGGTTTTCACTCTATAGCAGCCACATTGACCAGGTTGATCTAGAAGGGTGCCCCGTTCAGATGGTTAGAAGAGTGTGAGGCGAGCTTTCAGAAGCTCAAGACTGCCTTGACTACGGCGCTAGTGTTGGTGTTGCGCACAGGTTCAGGATCTTACATGGTGTATTGTGATGCATCTCGTATTGGGCTTGGTGCAGTACTGATGCAGGATGGAAGGGTGATTGCATATTCGTCGCGGCAGTTGAAAGTTCATGAGAAGAACTACTCTGTTCATGACTTAGAGTCGGCAGCCATGGTTCATGCGCGGAAGATTTGGAGCCGCTATCTTTACGGCGTGTCGTGCGAGGTATTCATGGATCATCGGAGCTTGCAGTATTTGTTCAAACAAAAGGATCTCAATTTGAGGCAGAGGAGGTGGTTGGAGCTATTGAAAGACTATGATATCACCATCTTGTATCATCCTGGGAAGGCCAATGTGGTGGCCGATGCCTTTAGTAGAAAGAGAGTGAGTTTGGGCAGCCTTGCGTACATTCCAGTCGGTGAGAGATCGCTTGCATCAGATGTTCAGGCTTCGGCCAATCAGTTCATGAGGTTGGATATTTCAGAGCCCAGCCGTGTTCTAGCTTGTACAGTCGCTCAGTCTTCCTTGTTTTAACGCATCAGAGAGCGGCAGTATGATAACCCTCATTTGCTTGTCCTTAGGGATACAGTGCGGCATGGTGGTGCTAAGTAGGTTACTGTCGTAGATGATGGAGTTTTTAAGAATGTAGGGTCATGTTTGTGTGTGCCCAATGTAGATGGACTTCGCAAGGTGATTCTTGAGGAGGCCCACAGTTCCCGGTATTCTATTCACCCGGGTGCCGCTAAGATGTATCACGATTTGCGGCAGTATTATTAGTGGAGAAGGATGAAGAAGGATATAGTTGCATATGTAGCTCGGTGTCTAAATTGCCAGCAAGTAAAGTATGAGCATCAGAGACCTGGTGGATTGCTTCAGAAGATAGAGATTTCTAGGTGGAAGTGGGAGCGTATCACTATGGATTTTGTTGTTGGACTCCCATGGACTTAGA